TTTTTTTTAGTTGTTTCAGGGATTTCAAATCATTCCATATAGTAGACAATGGAAGTCCGAACTAGTGAAATTCTAGTTGAGTTAAATGTTAATTGAGTCCCTTTATGATTTGATAATACTCAGATCAGAAGTGCTCGCGTCTGAAAATAAACAGTTTCATCTTTTCAAATTAGACTGAAATAGAAAGAAAAATAAGTAGTTATTATTTTTTTGAAAGAACGCTCATTAGCTTTGTCCTTTTACATCTTCATACAAAAATTGTGGAGGACCTACAAAGGAAAGAAGAAATCAATTAAGTTCTGAGCAAACTCTGTACTCAAAGATCTTTAGAAATTGCTTTCAGATAAAAATTGAGAAAAAGTTCAACTGAAACAACTACTTTCTCATGAACTTCCAATTAGACGAACCACTTTTTCTTATTCAGTTTGTACTCAAAAAATCAATTATGGAAATCAGTCTGATAATATTCATAGAAAAGAGATATCATATAAAGTTTCACTTACATGGAACACTATTACTATTAGGTACTATTACTGGTACTGTATTTATCGGCAGACATCCAAATCAGTTTATTTTTCAAACGAAGAAATATTGAAATAGTTCTTGCCAACAAATTATATTTCAGCATCAATTTTCTATATGCTCATTTGAAGTATATTCGGAGCATTGTAAGTGCAGGAGTTAACATTACAGACAAGTTATCAATGTCAAGCTGGTGAAGAGTTTCATCAGGCAAATGTAGTACAGTGAAAGATATAAGATAAATATAAACGGAATACAAGGTGTTTTGGCATCACTCGTTCACGTACAAAAAATTGAAAAATCATTCGATGCCCGTCTGGGTAGTGGTCTGGAAGGTAGTTCGTCCATCGCCAAGTAAGATACGAGAGTTTTCATCGATTTTCCCAGTATTCGGTTCCATATAATAAACTCATTACTTCATTTCTTTCCTCGGAAATTTTCATTATTTTCTCTGAAATATCATGAAGCCGCCTCTGTCCTACAATTCACCATATGCGATAGTTTTCAACTCCTTTGGAAGCCATGATTTATTGACTTATCTCCGTCGAATCGGCTTAGATAAAAACAGGACACGACAATAAATGGAAATGATAAATTCAGAAAGCATTTCATAATAGTCCATCATTTTTTCGAAGTTGTTTGGCGAGGCTGCGAACCGAATATTTGGAATATTTGTGGACGGAAATCCCTGAAAAAACTACTTCAACTTTGATGCTTATGGAGATTTTTATTATTTCGCCACACCCAGGACATGGTCCGCTTCATTTCTATGGTTTGCATCGAGGATGAATATTAGATTTCAGTTTATATGAATGTGTTCCTGTCAAAAAAATATAGTTCGTCTCATCACATACAGCGCATTTCTTTAATGTCCCCCCTTTTATTTTTTGAACGGGTCAACTCAGAAAATTGAAATTTGGGATAATGAAATCAATGCATGAATACTTTATTTTGAAGTGAAATTGACAGATGAAACTTTCAAGATGGCGACTAGGCGCCATCTGAGAAAAAAAATTCAATGGAAAGGGAGGTATTGTGACACACCATTTTGACGCTTCTGACAAATATTTAACATTCCTAGAATATGAAGTCAATATCTTCACTTACTACAAAATGGCGGAACTACTGTTGACCCTCTCATCACTGAAATCGTCGAAGCGAATTCTAATAAATTCGATATGGATATTGTATTCCAACAAAATGGAACACCACCATTACTTCAGACAACTAAGAAACTATTTGGATACTACTTTTCCCGGTTGTTGGATTGACCGTCGAGGTCCTACAGAATGTCCAGTCCGCTCGCCAGATTTGACACCTTTGGACTTTTTTATGGGGCTTTTTGGAGCAAAAGATGTACGAAACTGAACCTGCTTCAATATTGGATATGAGGCAGAGAATAACAAATATTTGTATAGATATTGACGTTACTGTGTTCGAAAATGTTAAACGTGAAATATCGGATAGGCTATTCATATGTCAAGGAGTTCAAGGCAACCATTTTGAGCATCTTCTGAACTGACTCCAAGCTTAGTCTATCCATTCCCAATTGGAACGGCAATAAAAATGAGAGTACAGTCATAAACATTTCTTGCCTGTGGCACCTAGTCGCCCAGATATTTAGTTAACGTGCTATCAAATGTAGTTGAGAAGTGCTCGGCTAGCTGGACTGGCTGAATACTATTTATTTATTTCTTTATCAGTTCGGTGTGTTCGTGGTGAGGTAGTGAGTGATTTTGAAAACCGATTTTTGAAAACTTTTTCTAGAGATCAGTTACCCTAACACCAAACTGAAATTTTGCACTCGACGCGCGTTTCGCTAACAAGGTTAGCATCTTCAGGAGAAGCAAATTGATACTGAATCTAAAGACAAGGGTTAGCTGTTTATATACCTAAAGTTTTTTGGTCCGATGTGGACTTTGATGATTATCCTAATTGATTTTTCGGTAATCAACTAGGGGAACCACTACCTGCAAATTAATTTGTCCACAATACAGACAATCAGTTTGGTTTTAGGGTAATTGATCTCTGGAAAAAGTTTTCAACTTTCACACTAAAGGTTCCAATCTCATCGTTTGAACCGATTTTTGTGAAAATCTTAGTGTTTTTGGGTACTTTCATCCATATGGCTTTCTGGAGACCTTTTGAAACAAATGATAACATTACGTGTGAGGAATCTGTGTCAATCGACAGGGATCCGGAATTTGAAAATAAGGACTTACATGTTCAAGTTCAGCGAGTAATTTTAAATATTCATGAATGCTTGAAGAAGGAAAACTGTCACACTTCACAGAATGCTATTGTGAATAGAATATGCGAGTTAACGAAACTATCTCGTTCGACAGTTCTTCGAGTTATCAAAATAGGCGATGTCATTGACCATGCAATGAAACGAAAACATAGAAATAAAAAATTCGCAAACGTCGATGGTGCTACAAAAGATGTGATTCGGCGAAAAATTTATGGTATATACCAAAAAAATGAAGTACCAACCTTGGAAATAATTTGGTATAAATTACTCGAATATCCCGATTACAATTACAAATCTTTATAAACTCTACGAGGTGTCTTATTGTCTTGTGGATTCAAATACAAAGAATTGAACAATCGGATGGTCATAATGAAATCGACACGCATTGTTCAACTCCGACAAGAATGTTTGAGTCGAATAAAAAACTACCAAGAATCCAGCAGACATATAATCTACCTCGACGAAACTTGGTTTGACACCTATGATGTTGTCAAATATGGCTGGGTAGACGAAACCAAGTATTGTGCTTTGAATACACTTTCTTCAAGGGGAAAACGTGTTATAATTTTGCATGCCGGAAATGAAAATGCTTCTGTCGTCCAAAAATATAAAAGATTCGTCTGCTGATTACCACGAAGATATGACTGCGGCTTTATTCGAAACCTGGTTCAGTGAGCAGCTTCTCCCAAATATTCCCACAAACTCGGTTATTGTTATGGATAACGCTTCGTATCATTCTCGGTTATTGACTACAATACCAAACAAAAGCAGATATTGTTGATTTCATACGAAATAATGACATGTAAATACCCGAAAAGATTCCAACGAAAAAAATTTTACTGGCGACCATAAAACAACGTAATTTCAAAAAAAGGATATTATTGATTCAATGTGTCAAACACGTGGTCATATTCTCTTACGTTTGCCTCCATACTATTGTGTGTCCAATCCAAATGAAATGGTTTGGGCCACAATGAAAGAAAGCTTGCGGAAATGTAATCAGTCACCGACTTTGAATGCTGTAGTGCTTGACAATATAAGGCGAGTGGTGAATGAAGTAGGCAATAGTGATGCGTGGAAGAACTGTGTGGCCCACGTTCCATAAATCCGATCGTTATTCAACCCGATGATGATTCCAGCTCATCTGAATATAGCGAAGAAGAATTTTGATTTTTCTAGCAATTTTGTGGCACGATATTATTTTGTAAATATTTGTTTGACGAGAATTCGGTGTGATTAATTGAGTTTTCATTGTATTTTAGAATTTTCGACTCGGAAATCAACTACCTTAAATTTCGAAGTTTTTCATAATCACCCATGGTGGAAAAATTCAGTTAAGATAACTTTTTCATGGGGTGATCAATTGTTATGATTGTAAGAATGAGTAACTCAGAAATTACCACTGAAAAATAATATGCCGACGCCTATGTTGAGGCGGGAATTCCTTCTCTGTGCTGTTCCAATTGGTATTGGAAATACTTTACCTCATATTATGTAGTCAAATGTTGATGTATTCAGGTCGGTCGGTAACCAGGCGGTTCGACGTGGGTGCTTTGTTCACTCACTCGAATTAACTGCCGTATTGGTCGGTGGTTCAAGCCCCAGTCTGAACGATCGATTTTCACTTGCTATCGTACAACCCGTGTTGGGAATCACACGTTTAAAGGTAGTACTTCGTTAATCCTTAGCTCGCACAAGTTTCGACTTCTGAGCGTTGTCGTTCGTAGGGGTGCGACAGCTGGTTAACGGAAAAACAGATTTTAAACAGTTTACCCACTTGTCAACGCAAGGTAGTGTCTACCATTGAAAAATTACTAGGTTAGGATTAGATAATCACAATGACGAACTTATTTTTGAATGTTATCATATTCACTTTTCAGTTATTGAAAAAAATGTTGTGAACCAAGTATAAACTCTTTCTTGTGTTGAAATAAGTTGACGATTCAGAAAATTTCATTCTCGAAGATGTTACATAATACGTTGGAAAGTTTGTTTTTCACTTATTTCCTCAAAAAGGACCAAATTATTGTAATGAATAGGACACAAATATTGAAAGGACTGTAGTGTCAACTGACGTATCCAAAAAACCCACTCTAATGTGAGATTTCCACTTGACAGTTCATAAAACCGCGATGTGTTTCGCTATACATTAGAATCTTCAGGTGTCACAACAATTTTGATTTTGATTTCATGAAACACGATAGAATTGATTCCGTTCTCTTTTCAGATAAAAATGGATAAAACTGGAATATATTTGGTCACCGCATTCTTCTTCTTCTCGGTTACTTCTGCAATGAGTCAGTTGGGTAAGTTTACTATCATATTTTAAACTATTATACTTCACATTTCGTCTAGATTAGTTGTACTCAAAGACAAGAATAGGAATCCACAGACAAGAAAAGAAAACCATATACACATGATTCAACCATGTTCCGCAAAAAATACAGTTGTAGTAGGTCAGAAATATGACAGAAAAATTGCAATAAACAAATAAATCAATAGTATCATAACTACATTATGATTTCAAAAACAGAAAATCATTCAGCTGTGTGAAAATATTGAAAACCAAGTATGGAGTGGCAATACTTCAATACGATATCTCGTTGTTAATATTTTTTTCGTCGAAACTTCATTGTTATAGTCCAATATTGAATTGAATAAGACATTTGTAGATTTCAGCAATTCAAACCTGGGTGGTCTCATGAGAGTGGCTCATCTCGTATTATGTCTATGAAACTGAGAATTGGTTAATAGTTCTGGCTGAATTTCAAGTATTGAGGTCCAGGGATATGCAATTAGGTCGACTTTTTTTTCTTAAAAACTAAGCAAGATACGAAAAAAATCCAAGTGACAAAAAAAGTTGTATTTTTAATTGCTTCATCCAAAAAAATAATAAAAATTGCACAAAAGTCAGTGGCGTACATTTTTAAGTCAAAAATATTCGTTCAAATCCCGCTCGAGACGCCACTGGATTTAATAAATCGAATCACGTTCGGGCTAAATTAGCTCCTTAATGTTATAAATACCGTTGCCAAACTACAACAAAATTAGGTGAAGGATATTTAAGATATTTACGAATAACTTTTCTTTTATTTTTATTTTAACACCCTGTATTTTGAGAACGAAGGATTTGCGGACCCATGTTTTCAGGAACATTTCATCTTAAAATTACCTAAAGAATCATCTGTTGAATTTATGGTACATACCTAATTGACACCCCGTATTAAACTAGATAAAATCTATCCGAAACAGTTGTTTTCTATTACAAACATTGAATCGCAAGGAAATTACTGTTTCAGAGTAATCCTGAAAACTTATGGAATGCACAAGAACAGCTATGAATGTTGGTTGATAATTCATTGTATCTAATTAATTCCGAAATTATTTTATGAATTTTTTACGTAGGTCTATGAATTTTTATCGCACAGTATTATTATTTATCGTTTATTTACATCTAACATTGCAGTAAATAATAATCTCACCGGAAATTTCCATAAATTGACACTCATTTGAATACGAGAATTTGCACAAGGATCGAATCAATGTGAGTTATGATTACTATTGTCCTCCTACTTACGACTACACGAATATTTTCACGCAGACTTATTAATTTGATCGGCACGATTAACCTTTCAGCGTTCAAACAAAAACTGACTGAGGTCACTTAAGTATACAGGAGATAGAGTAATAGCAGCTTTTGTATCCACCCTAGGATACGGGAAAAATAACGAACCGTGTAATGAAATCATCAAAAAGAGCGGACCAAAACAAAACGATCGGTCTTCAGGTGGCATGTTGAATGGTGACTATCCAGTGGCGTAGCAGTTGGTGTTGCATCACGGCAAAATTCTATATTTATTGAACGATTCAACATTTTGAAAATGGTTCAGGATTGACGTGATTACTGTCTTCAAAGATGATATGATTTCAGTTATTGCTATCTAACATGTGATGTACTGTTTGGAATCTTTGGTGTAGTAACGAAAATTACTGGAGTTTTTTCCCAACACCAAAACGTTATTTTAACACCTAGAGACGTATGATGGAACCGGCCGATACTTAATGAAAATCCATAACAAACGTATTCTAAAAACAATTTATTGTGTTATTTTCACTAGACAGTTTTACAAAAACGCAACACACATTCAATGCTATCTATATACCTTATTCTACAATTTGAAGTACCTGAATTTCAAGTTCCTGATTGTTTACCTAAGTTTGTAATGAAATGAATTACCTGAGCTTATGTTCCATTTCCCACATTTGAAAACATATTCAGTGATGGAGAGTTATGCAATTCTAATTGATCATTCAGTAAATTACCCGAATTCCTGAATCTATAGATTTTTAAACATTCTAGAAGATTGAGTTTCAAACTCTTCTCTTCTAAATGTAACACATCGTATTCATGATTGAACTCATGTCCTTCTGCTAAAAGGTGGTTTGCATATGTGGAATTGGTCTTTCTATTTACAAAACTACTTCTATGCTCTTTAATTCTTTGGAAAAATGTTCTTCCTGTTTAGCCAATGTACATTTTTGGACAAGAGCCACAAGTCAGCTTGTATACTCCTGATCTGTCCTATACCGAAGTTTAGTCTTTATTGTTTTCAATGACTTTACTTAGATTATTATCCGTTCTGTAAGCTACGCTTACGCTTTCTTTCTTCAAAAAAACGGGCAATATTCCTGGTTGGTTCACCCAAATATGCCAATGTCCAATAACTGACTTTATCGCATCTTGAATATGGGTAGACCAGGTCCATGGCTTGCTTTTATAGTCTTTTGGAAAGAATAGCGTTTATAATATCTACCTTATAAACGTTAATAACCGCGATTTGTTTAATCAGATTCAGCTCTTTCTGGAAATGCCTATCAGACAGTGGAATATTCAATAATCTGTGAGGCATACTTTTGAATGCAGAAACTTCATGCTGGTAAGGGTTTGTGGAGGAATTATGTATGATAATGTCCGTATACAATGGTTTGTGGAAAATTGCAAATTCATGTTTATTGTTATTTTTCTTAATGGTTAAGTCAAGGTAATTTATTGAATTGTTTACCTCCCTCTCATTGGTGAATTTTATTGACGGGTGGATAGAATTGGCATATTCAATGAATTTGCCTAATTGCCTATCTGTACCAGTAAAACATACTAAGATATCATCCACGTTAGCTGTTAGCTGTTAGTCAACTGATTATCATGGACTTCATACTCTATGTTATCCATGAAAATTTTCGCCAGCAGGGGACTCAAAGGGTTCCCCATTATTAGTCCTTCACTGCATGAATATAATTTTCCGTCAAACTGGAAATATATGTAAGTGAGATAGAAAAATGGTAAGTGAATCTACAATTTCCTGTTTCATCAGTGGATTCACGTGGTTTTTGTCTAAGGATAGGTTAATTGAACCTAACCTTGAACCTAATTGAACACAAGCACTACAGAAAAATCCTCAAGGCGCTCTCAGAGCGGTGCCTGTGCGAAAGTGGCGATTCACATTGGATTTCAATCGCTGGATACTAAATCCATTTGGAAAAACATTCTCAGGAAGTTTATTCCACATAAACGCAGTTCTCCAGATGGAAGAGTTCTTCAAGAGTTCGAGGTGTACTGAGTTGAACCTCAAAACGATGAGCACCCACAGTTCGTCGCGTATTTCTGATATGTACCGCTCTTCGTGGAATCAAAACATGACAAGTCACTTGAACACCACCCGTGAAAGTATCTATAAAAGAGAGACAAATCTCCAACCTTTCTTCGAAGTTCCAGGCTGTCAAGGTTGCACGTCATGTTCACGTCTGCAATCAGGCAAATGGTTCTTTTCTGGATGAAATCCAGCAACATCAAAGTATGTTTCGGAGCAGAGCTCCATACATGAGAACAATACTCCAAAGAAGGTCTAATCTGAGCCTTATAAAGCATCAAAAGTTGCTGAGATGTGTACAGTTTTCTGGTCCGGAACAGTGTTTCAAACTTTTGAGAAGCAGCCTTTGCAATTCCCGCGACATGATTGTGCCAAGACATATTGGTGTCCATTTTAACCCACAACAAACGTATCGGAGCAGAAAGCGGAATTACCCGTCTTGACATTATTATAACCGGTTTGGGGACATTCATCGTTGCGGAGAAAACCAATGCCTGGGTTTTTGTGGCATTTAATTAAACCTGGTTACTTCCACCCCAATTCGTAATCAGTTCTAGATCCTTATTAAGATATGCAACCTCCTGTTCCGGTGAAGATGTGCCTCCGTAGCCGATATCCTGGAATCCAAAAGGAATGACGAGACAAAAGTGTGCTGTCATCTGCAAAGCAATATATTGGATTCTTGGTTGATGGTACGTTGATGGTGAAAGTGAAAGTGGAGAGATATCCATCGATGGCCACTTCCTTCAGAAGAGTATGGAGAGCCATACACAGAAGATGAATATGTTGAAGCCTTCCAAATATTTGAGGATATGGTGGTAACAAAATTATTACCTGAATCATCAATACCTTAGCTGAGTATCAAAAACACTACTTGTGGATTGATCCAAATAGCACTGGATCCTAAACGAGTTGTTACAATTCACGAGTTTGGAAGGGAAGAGTTGCATGATTCTAGTTGGTCTTTAAGGGTTTTTAAATTGCGGTTTTTATCCAATTCATTTATTTCGAATGCTTTCAACAAGTTCATCTATGTTCCTTTACTGCACGTATGAATAATTTTTCTGTTTTTTTATTTACTATGGAACGCCGTTTTACTTTTTATTGTCACAAATATTCATTCCACAATTCATTCAACTAACAATGTATTTGTTTGAATTTAATTGATTCATGCATTTGTTCGACACAGTAAAAACGATTGTTCCCAAAATTTGTTCTATTTTAAATGACACTTGATTTAAAATGTTACATGAATTAATTTGTTTGATGAAAAGTTGCGAACAGTTATAATATAGATTCATTGTTTGAAATTTTTGGAAGTAAATGTTTGTCATATATACGGCGTGCCACGCCGTTTTACTTTTTATTAATATTCCTTTGAAATGATCTGAATTATTTTGTTTGTTGAATTTCAGTGATACATGAATTAAATTGATTGTTGATAATTTTTATTCGGCGCCACGGTTGAACGGCGTGTTGTCGTACTATAAATGAACTAGCATGTTGCCATATGTAACAATTGAAGTTCTTGATAAATCCGCTCGATACCAGCGCCGAATTAAAATTATCAACAATCGTTTTAAATGTATCTTTCAAATACAACAAACTTTTTAAATCATCAAAAAATTTTATTTTTTGTCAGAAATTAGCTTTTTAAA